ATCTAAATCACACATTACTAATCGGATGCTTGGTGACTCTTGTACTGTGCTGCTGAAGCTGGAGATGAGGACACAGAGGAATTAACCTTCACAAGAGGTAAACAAAGTTATCCTGAAAAATCTCTTCCTCAGCAACGGCGGTTTCGTGGTTTTTATCCTGAAAACCAAATTGACATGTGTACTAGGTGTTGGGAATGGACCCAACATTCAACTTGGGTCATGTACAATAGGTCCAGTTGCTTATCCTTAAGTCCAAAATGAAGATACATCTATGCGTTAGTCTAGACATATTCAAGTGGGTGCAATGTTTTTAAACTCGAACCGGAGGTCAAATCATTTTAACCTCCAATTCACGATTTGAACGGTTTAATTGGATTAATCAGTAAAACCACCAGGTTGATTAAACTACTATAAATATATTATTCTGCATAATATTTCACAAGTTGTTGGTTAAGTGCAATGGTAGGTGGCTAATTTGTTATTTAAGATCACAAGTTTGAGCCCTCTAGAGAACAAATTTTAATATAATTGTGGCTTTAAACATAGAATAAATATATTGTCAAGCAAGAGATAGCAAATAGAAGGTTGTGTATCAAGTGGAGAAGTCTTTGTTTTATATCACGAACAATGGGTGTTCGAACCCGATGGTTGTCATCAATAATTTGTTAAAAGCTTTGAGTTTACTATTTTATAAATAAAATTCCGAACATCAATTGACACAAGAATTGTATCATTCCAATGGTAAAAAATCAAAATTACGACTTTGAGGTTGCAAGTTCAAAGAAGACAAATTTCTAAAGATTTTATACTCAAGCATTGAATTGTCCGGTCGAACAATTTATTGGTTTGAGTGGTTTTCATGATTTTCATTGGTTTTGAGCGATTTAACCATTCAAATGGTTTAAAAAATACACCCAAACCGTTTATACCACTGGGTGTCAATTCAACCAGTCCAATCGATCGATCCAATTCGGTTTTCAAAACATTACGTGGGTGCTTACACATGAATTACACACAGTCTTATGTCATCACCCGATGGCTATAAATATCCCCACTTATCTCCACTCAAGAAAATAACTTTATTACGATTCTCTCTCTAGAATTACTTTTAAAAGCTTCTCTCTCTAGATTAGATTATTGAATATTACTGACTTAAACATTGAAATATTTTCTCTGAGAAACCGTTCTCAGATTTTTCAAGTGTTGAAGCAATCGAAGATCTCTACAATATATGTTTGAGAAGCTGCCCAAACACTAGGAAAAACAGCATCAGCCTGTTATTGAAGGTGTTGGCAAGAAGGCAAGAAGCAGGTTTACTGAACATGAATAGCAGGAAACGGTGAGATAAAGAAAGGACCAACTATTGTTGATTTGACTAGGATTTTCCCACCTCACTACGCGAGATATTCATAAGGTACTATGTTTTTAAAAGAAAAAATATTAAAAAATATTATATTTTTATATTATAATATCACAATAATGTATGAACCCAATTTTCAATTTCAATGATTTGTATATAAATTTTAATGTATTGATTCAATTGGTCGAGAATTAATATAGTATTCTAACTTTTAGTTGTTAACCGTTTCTTATTCTCTCATAATTCTTTATGTTAAAAAAAAATAATGTATATAAAATTTTATTTTATTTTACCAAATTCTCTTGTACCTAGGATGGAGCCATTACAGGACAAGGGAGGCAACCGCCTCCCAAAGTTTTGAGAAACAGTTAATAAGGTATTATAGCTTTTAGTTGTTAAAAATTTTATTTCTATAATGCAAATTTTAAGAACTATTTCTAAAGCAAAAATATATTTATAACTTAAATATAGAGTTTTTAAAAAATAAAGATATAATATAAATAAAATAAATTTTATATCAATTTAAATAATTAAATGTTTCCCTCCAACAAAATT